GGGTGTACTGCGCAGCAGTTCGTTCCGTTCTCTTATATGGCTGTGAAACATGGCCGTTAAGAGTAGAAGATGTTCGTAGGTTACTAGTATTCGATCATAGATGTTTAAGAAGCATTGCTCGTATATCATGGGACAACCGAGTAAGTAATGCTGTCGTTAGGAAACGGGTACTAGGTAAGGATGGCAGATCAATCGATGAAGTGGTGAAACTTCATCAGTTGAGGTGGTTGGGACATGTGTTGCGTATGCCTAACCACCGACTGCCTCGACGAGCTATGTTTTGTGGTGTAGGAGTAGGTTGGAAGAAAGTTAGGGGCGGCCAGACCAAAACATGGCAGAAATCCATGAAGTCACTGACAAGTGGACTGAGTCATGTTGGTAGATGTAGACTACCTGGTTGGGGTCAGCGAGACGAAAGTCATCAGTGGTTAGAGACCTTAAACGACATGGCTCAAAATCGTTTACAATGGCGCAGGTGCATCCACTCTTTGAGCTCTCTCAAATCCTAATCTTCTGGATTAGCCAGCACCTCTACCTTTGTCTTTCTAACCTTATCTCACTGAATTATATTTTTTTGAATAATATCTTAAACCCTAGTCTTCTTTATTATAATATTAATACCTCTACTATCTTTATCACTATGGGATTTGATTTGACATTTGCGTCTCTGTGCTAATAATGTGGTATGGCAACATGAACTTATGTACATACGTACGAAGTTCTACGTTGCAACTGACTGACTGACCCACGGTGTGGGTAGCCGGGAAGTAACATCCGCTCTCATACCCATAAATGCACATGAGACCGAATCAGTCACAATCAAATCCCTTCTACATCTCCTAATAACTCGTATCTCTTTGACCAACTCTTCCTTCGATCGTTTTTCACCTTGCGCCGCTGAAGCAAACAGCTTGAGCTCACGAAACGTCATTCCTGGTCTCTTGAAACCCCATTCTAGACTACATGTTGGGGCTTTTAATATACGGACATTGTGTCAAATAGGGAAACAGGCTTCACTAGCTAGAACTCTGGAATCCCGTGCCATCGATGTATGTTGTGTGTCGGAAACGCGTACACAGGATTTTAGTAAAATCATCAATTTGATTTCACCTTGTCAAAATAAAGAGACAACTCGATTTACTCTACGTGTATCTGAAAGCTCTGATGCTGCTTCCAGAGGTCTTGCTGGCGTAGGTATATCATTGAGTCGTAGAGCTGAACAATCTCTCCTAGACTGGATCCCAGTAGATAGTCGCTTATGCGCTGTCCGACTAAACGGGACAGTAAGGACTCGTAAAGATAGGGACACTCGCCGTTTCCTCTTCGTCGTATCTGCCTATGCCCCCACTGACTGCAGTTTAGAAGAGATAAAAGATAAGTTTTACAGAAACCTCTCTAAACTTCTTCAAAATGTTAGGCACTCTGACACAGTAATAATGGCTGGTGACTTTAATGCTCAAGTAGGTAAACTGAGTGAGCAGGAAAGACACCTGGGTGGATGCTATGATGTGGCTGCTAATAGAACATAATGGCGACCGTCTGTTGCAACTGTGCTCAGATATCCGCGTATTTCTAGCAAACACTAACCTTAAGAATAAGGAAAAATATCTTTTGACCTTGCGACTCCCAAAGTCGTCTCAACGATGGACCCAACTAGATCACATTGCTGACAGCCACTGAAGGAGAGTCTCGATAGAAGACTGCTGTTCATTCTGGAGCACTTGTTTAGATTCAGATCATGCCCTGGTGCGAGCGCGTATTTGTTTGCGACTTATCGGACGTAGGAAAAACACCGCAAGGAAGCCTCTTAGGGTTTTACTCAATGATAATAAATCTAAGAACATATTTCAGAGGCAACTAGAAAGAGAGTGAGACAACCATGTAAACGATTCCCATCCGGAAGCAGGTTGGAACGATATCAAAAAGGCTGTGGAAACAGCAGTGATATCTGCTAGTAAGGTTAACCATAAGGCTAGAATGAAGCCGCGGATCTCAATAGCAACAACCGAACTGATGGATGCTCGAAAACTTATCTCGCCTGGCTCTGAGCGCTATGAGGAGCGGAATCAGCTTAGACGTGGGCTGACAAAAAGCCTACGCAATGACCGAGAACAGTGGCAGGTGCCGAAAGCGAGAGAGATGGAAATGGCAGCGGAAATAGGCAACAGTAGACAACTATTCAGACTCATCAAGGAAACGTATTAGGAACCCAAATGTGAGTGAGACTATTTCAGAAAATGATGGTCTTATTATCTATTCTCAATCTAGGAGATCGGATCGATGGGCAGAACACTTGAAGGATCAGTTCAACTGGCCTCGAGCCACTCTTCGGTTACTCACGATTTCCAGTCATCCTGAATGGCAAATCGACGTAAGTCCGCCTACGTTTCACGAAGTTAGGGAAGCGTTAGGAAATCTGAAGCGAGGGCGAGCTGCAGGTCCTGACTGATTGACCTTTGAGATTTTTAAGGATATTGGTCCAGCTTTAGCAGCTAGGTTGACTGAGATCTTATGCAGAATCTGGGTACTGGACACAATCCCATCCGAGTGGTCTCAATCACTGATTGTCTCAATCTATAAGAAAGGACACAAGTCTTCTTGTGACAATCACAGGGGAATAAGTCTAACTAATATAGTATCCTAAATGTTGGCCTCAGTAATACTTCGACGCTTAACGAAAACCCATGAAGAGCAGACTAGAGAAAACTAGGCTGGTTTCAGACCTGGACGTGGATTTACAGACCACATCTTCACTCTAAGACAGATCCTGGAACACAGACACACATTTGGGCGTCCTACAATAGTTGTCTTGCTGGACCTTAAGACGGCGTTCGACTCTGTTGATCGTGAGGTTCTGTGGCAGTGTTTGTCATTGAAAGGTGTACCAAAGAAGTACATTAACCTCATACAAGCTCGCTACTCGAACACCGCTGGTCGAGTGAGAGCTTATGGCGAACTGTCACCGGAATTCTTTACTTCAAGTGGTGTCCGTCAAGGATGTCCACTCTCTCCATCCTTGTTCAATTTTATCATAGACATGCTCCTAGATATAACCTTATCCTCGTCTGAGTTTTCAGGAGTAGACCTTCTACCAGGAGGCTCGCTCATTGACCTTGAATATGCCGATGACATAGTCCTACTTGGTGAAGACGCTGACAAAATGCAGAGTCTTATAACCACCCTAAGCAACAATGCAAGCATGTTCGGGATGCGGTTTTCCCCCTCGAAATGCAAAATGTTAATTCAAGACTGGGTTGCATCGGCACCTGAACGAGTGATAGGGAGTGAAGTGGTTGAACGTGTAGACCGCTTCACTTATCTTGGGAGTCTCATCAGTGCCGATGGCCTGGTGACTGACGAAATCTCGGCACGGATACAGAAGGCTCGATTGGCTTTTGCCAACCTGCGTCACTTATGGCGTAGGCGAGATATCCGTTTGCTGACTAAAGGACGAGTGTACTGCGCAGTGGTTCGCTCCGTCTTACTTTATGGCTGTGAAACATGGCCAGTGAAAGTAGAAGATATTCGTAGGTTACTGGTTTTCGATCATAGGTGTCTTCGAAGCATTGCTCGTATATCGTGGGACACCCGAGTGAGCAACGCTGTTATTAGGAATCGGGTGCTAGGTAAGAATGGCAGATCAATAGACGCAGTAGTGATACTACATCATTTGAGGTGGTTGGGACATGTGTTGCGTATGCCTAACCACCGACTGCCTCGACGAGCTTTGTTTTGTAGTGTAGGAGTAGGTTGGAAGAAAGTTAGGGGCGGTCAGACCAAAACATGGCATAAATCCATGAAGTCATTGACGAGTGGACTTAGCCATGTCGACTACCTGGGTGTGGTCCGCGAGATGATAATAATCAATGGTTAGAGACCCTGAACGACATGGCTTAAAAACATTTGCAATGGCGCCAGTGCATTTATTCTTTGTGTTCTCTCAAATCCTAATCTTCTGGATTCTCCAACACCTCTAGTTTTGACTTTCTTAACTTTTCTCATTGAATCATACTTCTTGAATAATATCTTCTAATCCTAACCTCTCCGATTACTGCTAATACCTTAACTACCTCTACTACCATTAGATTTGAATTGACAACAACATCTGTGTGCTGATGTGGTATGGCAACATGAACTGATGTACTTACGTACGAAGTTCTACGTTGCATCTGACTGACTCATTACCTGTACTACTCTGAGATTTGTCCGAACAATTTGATCTCACTGAGCTAATGCAGTGTGTCAATTCGAATTGGTTTACACATGTGCAAGGTTCTGAGTTTAGGATAACGGAATGGAAGAATAGTGTCAAGGATTTTTAGATGTCACTGTTACGATTCTCAGTGGTTGAGTCTAAAAGTCAATTCTGAAATGATTGGAAAATGAGTGACCTAAAAGTTAATTTCTTTCAATCCCTTATGAAACTGTGTCGTTTTTATTTTGTTAATAATTTGTATATAGGCACGCTGCTTTATTACATGAAAAACTGTTCATCCGGCTAGTATTCTTTGCTTTTTAATTCTAATCATTAGGGAGCTGAAATAAACAATACGACCATGTGAGTAGCTATGAGTCGGCAACACTAAACCTTTGCATCTTACCGGTCGTTTAGTATTCCAACTATTGATTTTAACGATCGAAAATTTTTTCAAATTTGTCATAAGTTGACACAGCCCTGAAATATAAATTGACTAGCAGCATTACCAAAAAGCATGATAGGAATTCTAAAAAAGATTATTTGGAAATTTAATCGTCATGATAGTTATTTAACTTTTTTATATCTAAAAGTGGACGGGTAAATAGGGTAGTTCTTGGCAGCTACCTGGACTTTGCACAAGGTATTTAGCTAATGATATACCGAGGCTTTCTTACGTGTGACGTATACAGAGCCATTATTATCATCAATGGAGACCTTAGTAGGAATAAACACATCTACATGGAACTTGTAGTAGTAGATTGAGCGTAATAATTTCGAGACAATAAATAACCAGGAGAATTACTTGTTTGACCATTCGATATAACATCTATGGGACCTTTACGGACAATGGTGACACCAAGTTTCTCAGCAAGAGATCTTGTCGCATCTTCAGTGTCATTTGGTTGAAATGTAAACTGAACAGATACTTTGAGTATATTATTGATTAAATTACCACAGAATAATATAGTCGTGAAAACTCAACAATGTTTGGAGTAAGGATAGCTTTATCATAACCTTCAATGAGCGATGGACTTTGAGTGACGATATGCAATGCATCAGCATCTATAACAATTGGTTTGTTAGATTTTTTGCAATAATCTATGAGCTAAAAAGAATTTTTATTTAAAACTACATGTATTAAATAGGAACTTTTATAGTATTTTCGACATTTTCAGTTCGTCCGAGACCAGGTCCAAATGTAACTGCATGAACTCTATCCATACATTTGATTGCTTCTTCTGGAACTCCATCTCTAAAAACTCGGTAATGACAATGACCGTTAATAAGGAAATTTACAGCACAGGGTGGACGATCAATTCTGGACTATATGATTTGATAACAGGAGAGGAAGAGGCAGAACATACTACATGAACCAAATCAGCACCCTGGAAGTTACAATATTTACGTATGATAACTTACGCAGTGCAAAGCACTTATGGCAGAAAAGTAGGGTGCTCCAGTATATCTGTTAACTATCAACAACATATGTGTGAACTGACTCTTTTGATCCTCCCACTATAGCAATTCTACCCATTTGACCTTTATGAAGACCATATGCTAACCGAGGAATCGTATTAATTATATCATTAATCATGATAAGGTCGTTTAGTGACTGAAACTAACTGCCACAGCAAACGTATATCTGAAAGGGAAACCAACGGAAGTTTTTTAAGATCAATTAAAAGACTAGGTGAACATAATCCAGTCAACAACTAACTTTCCAGAAACAGACCTCTTTTCGTTAGATCATATAGTCAGCCTAATACAAAAAGATGTTATTTATTTGAGTAAAAGCGCCTCCGACTGGGACAGTACTGCAAATATTCAAGCTATAAAGATAATGTGATACATTTATAAAAACCGACCCGTGTCCTTGAGTTTGAGTTTGTGGGAAGTTAATTCCAATATCCAATATCCAATACCTTTTCCACGAGCTAGTGTAAACCAATTTGATTTCTTTGCGCTCGATTCTCGCTCTTTCGGTACGGTTCCAGGTGTTCGGTAATGTCCAATTGATAGAGGTCTAGCTACTCGACTGTCTAATTCTAGTCAGTTGGCAGTTGGTTGTATGTATGACTCGGGATTTGAATGAAAACGTTTGTTTCAGGGCAGTAGAGTTTCTGGATACCAGCAGCCGTCAGACTGCCAGACCGGAGATCAGTTAGTTGCAATGTGGAGAGTAATAAGAGTTAAAAGTAATTTCGGGGTGATAGCACCAAGCTGTCTTCGCCTAAAGTGAAAAGTCGCATTTACCTTGGCTGCATCCCCTACATAGTTTGGACTGGTGTGCAGGCTTTCTGTAGTTATCAAACAGAGATCGCGCTCCGAGTAAACATTATAGAGCGGACTTCCATTGAGGGTATAGATCGTTTGCGTCATGTGAAGCAGGAGATACATGATGTGAAACTTCGGTTGGTTGAGTTTTAAACCGTTTTTCACTGCCCGTTCCTCAATTGATGTAAGGTCCTTTTAAAGCTCAGTCGAATCCTCTTTGCTTCTAATAGACCTACAGATCTTCGCATCGTCTGTGTAGATCAATGCCGGTGATCTAACTAAGCCTAACAGGTCGTTAATTAATATCATGAAGAGAAGAAGGCCTAGGATGGTCCCCTGTAAAACTCTCAAAGTGGATACTCTGTTTACCTTAGTGCGAAACTTTCTATTCTCAAGGTGGTTTCTGAGCCAAGATAGAAGTAGGTCAGTGAAGCCCACTTGCACAACCTTTTCGATTAGGCGTGCGTGGGGTGCTGTGACGAAGGCTTTTGAAAAGTCGATAAATATTACGCGCACCGGTTTTTTACGGTTCAAAGAGGATGTCCAACTGCCGCAGGCACACGACCTGCCCTTCCGAAACCCGTGTCCAGCTTCACGGAGTATTTTATTCGTATCCATACACTCCCTCATTTGTTCGTCCACTAGCCTTTCAATAATTTTTGATAATATTGGTAGTAGTGCGACTGGTCTGTAACAGGCTGGGTCCTTTGAAGATTGGAGAGAGAGTAGCTTGTTTCCATTCGGCTGGAAATTGGTGTGACTCCAGTGAATGCCTGAACAAGTCATATATCGGTGAGCAGAGGACTTCTTCACATTGTTGCAAGACTATGGGGCGGGTTTTGTCACAACCTGGTGACTTGCCTGGGTGTAAGGATTTTAGTTTCCTTAGTACTAAGTCAGGAGTGAAACGGATGTACCCTAAGCTGTCAGCTGGCAATGGGTTGGCGTAGTATTCTGAACATGCAGGTGCCTGTTTTAACTGATCAGAAAAATTTGTGTTGAAGATCTCAGCCATCTCTAGGTTCGTCAGGTCTTCGCCGTTTGGTCCTTTTAGAGAACACAACCCTTGATTAATCGGTTTTCTTTTAGACATGAACCTAAACAGATGTTTCGGGTTTGCCTCTATTTTGGCGGCTAGCCTCATCTGAAATTGTCTCCTGTCGCTTCGACCTTTGGTATTGCATCTGTTTCTCAATGCCAAGTAAGAACTGCGATCGGAATCCTTCCGATCCAGTACTCAATATCTTTTTCATTAACCAATATAAACCAATTGATTTCTTTGAGATTGATTCTTGTTCTTGCGGTACCCTCCCACGTGTGTGGTAGTGTTCAAACATTTAAATTTAAGTGAGTGGAGTGAAGTTCAAACTTGAGATCCGGTACTGGTAACCTGAGTGTTACATTAAACCATTGCACATAAATCTGAATACAAATTAGGTTTCTGAACAGCAGACATATCACATGCAAGTAAGTGGTATTCCTTGTTGGAAACAAGATTTATATGCGAACTTCTGTCAATAGTAGCCAGCCAGTCATCTGAACCGATGTACGTCTGTACAAGTTGCCAAGCCACATTAGCATAGAGGAATGGAATCGTCAACCCCACTCCCGTAGTGGTAGAGGTAGCTACAGTATTCACAGTGATGGAAAAGATCAGGGAGCGAAGATAGGATCTGATATCTATAATCCAATGAAGTAAGCTTGAAAAGCGAAAGGTCATGAGGAATTCAGAAGGTTACAATTTAGAAGACAAAAATGGATGCTTACGCGCCATTGTAAACAACTTAGAGCCCTGTCGTTCAATAAAGAGATTTCTTTTTATATAGTTGGGTGATGTTCATTTGATCAAGATTACCACCAGACAACACGATTATATTTGAAGCCTAGCGTGACTGACGGTTTACTCAGCCTTACTGAAAGAAACAGCTTCAGTTTTGTCGGAATTTCTTCGTGTGGTGTTCTTGCGTTTGCAGAGTAAAGACCTAGTCTCAAAAATTTGAAAGCTAGTCAATATCATAATCAATTCTAATGTGGATCAAGGGAAAAAGCCGATGGCATTCATTTCAAAACCCTCAAAAGGTGATAGTCCCTGGTATTCGTCTATATGACCACTTACTGTCAATAGACGTAGTTTCAGAAAGGATACACTGATGTATAACCAAACCTCTGACTGTGATGACTAAATGAGAAACCGTACATGATCGCAAAAGGAAGAAATGTGATATATCTTGACTTCTCAAAACCTTGCGATGGAATTCGTGATATATATTTCGTCAATAAGCTTAAACATTGGGGTAAACATACCTTTGTTTTATCCATAAACGTATGTGCGAAGCCGTTGTTCGGCTTTGAACATGAATATTTTCTGTTCTGCTCCTCGTCCCGTTTTCTTTATTCCTTTTTTCAGAACCTTATTCCAATCCAAATATATTAGTCTGGTGTTTGCAGTAGACTTGGTTACCCGACCCAAGAACATGTGAAATCATTAGCTGACGAATATCAACCAGACCTTTGTACATTCGCCGCATCAATTCTTGTTATATGAAAACCCATCTGTACCATCAATCGTTTCTCAGTCCATAATATGATTGTCGTAACGCATGCTCCGTAATTTGCGCCAATTACTCGCCTTCTACATTCCGTCATTAGGAAAACAATGAATCTAGTGAAATGTTTCAGTATCTGTATACCGCTTAAAAAAATATATGATGCTGATCGTAACATTTTGATCTTGCTTGTCAATTGACATGTCTCTTGTAACATGTTTGTTATTTGAGAAGAAATTATTATCAGTATTATTATTAAATATACATGTTAAATTCATATAAAAATCATCCGTTTTTTAGGCTCAGGTTCAAATTTCGTTTTTCTCAGGTTACGAACAGTATAATACAGCCACATTTTCAATAGTAGAGTACAAATAAGGAAGGTGCAGAATAGGTTCTTTTGGCGATTTGCCGAGATCAATAGTGAATTTTATGGGAAAGCTCAATTCGAACGCGCTTGATACAAGCTGTGATGCTGACAGTCATGTACATAGGGTGCATGTTCCCTAGAACAGCCAAGGATTTCCCACATTGAATGGGGTTCTAGAAAGGGAGAAAATAGAGAGAGAAAAGAACAGCAGTGTGGCAAGTGTATATATACAGCCAAAGCGCTACTTAACCTGTCATTTTAAAGTAGTCAGTACATCATAAAAGGAGTGAGGTTGGTGTATCTGAACAGCATTTATGACAGTAGGGACAGAACCTCTACCTAATCGATGATATTGATGTTACGTTTCCTTGTTAACCACGTCTACGACTGATTTTTGTAACTTTGCACTGCCCTCACTTCCTACCACGAAATCCTATTACAAACGAATCTAGAATATTTTCATGTAAAAGAGCCCATTCGTGACATCTTGAGCTACCGAGATAAAAAGAAAAGACTAAATAAAATATCGCATTGTAGATGAACTTTCTACCGTAGCAGTTCAATTTGTTTCCAGTTGGCGTAAGTCGAACGCACCCCTCTACTAGTCCAATGACAGAACACAATAATTCTAGGAGAAAGTGGTCTATTTATGTAAAAAAATTGAAATACAAACAAATACCTGACTTTTCATACACCTTATTCTCAATTGCCGCAATGAGTATCCGGTTCCAAAGGAATAAGTGATGCTAGATCCAACAAAAAACGATATCAACTCCAAATATGGCTGTAGCCATATTAAAGATCAAATTTAAACAACATGTGTACAGTTCAGAAGCAAACATAAAAACTTCAATATAAGTACAAAATATAGAAATAATAACAATATACAATGATAAAATCTCAAAATGGAATCAAATAAAATACCAAAATATCAACAGAAAGAGTCCGTCATGTCATAACAAAAATATATAAACATGGAGGGATTTTCCAAAAAACAAAACATTCAAAAAAGATTCTACACCGGCCCGCAAAATCCCTCCATGCAAAAAAACAAGCGTTTACTGACACTTCAAGTTAGGGTTCCCTCTCATTCCCTAATCCACACCGGAAGAGCGAGTAGGACTTACAGCAGTACGCCTACCCGCCCTCCAACATGGATATGACCTATCAAGCTAACTAGGTACCTGTACCTTCCCATCAGGCCCTTGATTCCCCTATCTATCGTAGCATGACCTAACGGTAGTATAAACTTTATCCAATTAACCCACATGAACATGTACAACAGGTCGCAAAGCTGGTCATATCCTATCCGGGAATTACATTCCATATCATGGGGATGAGTTGTCAATCCACCACCACTTGCCTCGATCGGCAGATACAATGAAGTCCGTGATGCTGACTTATCAAGAGAAATTCTTGACCCATAAATAATATGCAAGGGTGGGATCTCCAATTTCGATATTTCCTCGTCTCCCGAAGACTTTAAGTGGCCTAACATGGGACCAATATCTAACTCTCCATCTCCTGATACAGAAGAGGTTTGATCAGCATTCGTCATCGTCGGCAACTCATTTGTCACATCAGTGACATCCAGATTATTATCATCGTCATCATGATTCCGTTGTGTCAGACAAGTCGCGTCGTTTCTGGCTGCACTAGCATCCGTAGAGTGAAACTCTTCCATTGTTGTATAACTCATCTCGCTACATGAAAGAACAGCATTAGTGTCACAATCCAAAACCGATAAACTCACTTGTTGTTC